GACTACTGATTCTCAGGCTGATTTTAAAGGGAAAGGCAATTTGCTGTCAGATCTCTTCTTACCCTTATGCTGCCTGACAGCAAGGAGAGTGGAGTTCTACGTGCTGCCTCCCATAGTTGTCTCTGTGTCCCAGCATGTTGGGGCTGTGGAAGGTATCTACTGTCTCTCTGAAGGGAAAGGGCTTCTTTGGGGCCTGAAGGCTTAGAGATGGGGCCACTATACATTTAAGGAGTAGCGGTCTTTAAATCTACTTTTTCCTTGGACTACAGGCAGAAAGGAGGTCCTAAACATGCTCTGTTGTGAGGAAGTGTGAGGCTCTTCAATTAGTTTCTCCCGCCAGCTGCTCCCTGAATGTTCAGGAATAGTATTTCAGAATGTCTTTTCTTCTGTATTAGTTTTCCTAGTTATTTCATGTAATCCCAAGCTCATACTCAGTATTAAAATGGTCTCTGCCCTGCTGGAGTTGATTGCAACAGTTCAGCAGAAATCATTCTTCTTGATGAAATACCTCTGTTCTTTGGACAGTTAGAAACTGGTCTTTTGGAAAATGTGCGCCTAAACCAAGTTTTGCAGTGGTCTCCATGTATCTCTGGTGAATAATGTCACCTTTATGCAGTTCCACTTGTGCAGATGGTACTTCTTGTGGGTGTTTCCACCCTCAAACCAGACTGGAATATCAAAGCAATAGGAACTGTGGGCTCAGGTAACATCCCTCCTCATTGCCCAGAGTGGAGAAGTCTCAAACCAGTAGCTCCCATAGGCAGATCTAGAGGCTTCCACAGAAGAGAATAAGGCCAGAAGGGATTTACCACAGATCTGCCCTGAATTAACTCCCATTTTCTCCTAAAGCAGCTAGTAGCAGAAAGTCAACCCCATCCTTCATATCTGTTTCTGTGTTATCTTCAGTATTTTAAATGCGCTTTCCTTCAGGTGGAAGGGAAGCAGATGACTTTGAGGCTTTTGAAGGCTGAGAAATTTCCATGTCGTCCTCCGCGGAGTGTGAGTTTGGGTGGCCTACATAAGAGTCAGAGGACACAGCTCTCTTAACAACCCCATGCTTAGACATCTTACAGCTCTCAGGGTATTATTCACAGAGAGCATTAAGAGAAACAGTGGCCTACTAAAGGCAGAGCCTTTGCCATGCCGCCCAGGTGGCACTCATACCCTCTCACACTGAGGAAGCAGAGCCCTTTGGTGAGCTTGCTCATTGCCCCCCGGACAAGCACGAGCTGTGCAAGGAGCTCCTGTTCTTCATGTGGACTGAAATGGGCACGATACAATTTACTGTCGGTAATGATGCACCTTCACCCCTGAGTTTAATACAAAAGAGCAGACAGGGGTGCTAGGAGCACACAAGAGCTTACTGATAGGAGAAGCAGCATGTTTCCCCATCTCTATTTGCATCTTGGCTCAGTTTCCAGTCACACTTAAGTTAGTCATAGTGGAAAAATACACATGCAGAGCTGTGCAGCTACAGTGTTCCTTCTGACAGGAGAGTTTGAAATAGAGCAACAACCACAAGTTCCAGGTTAACGTGCTGAATGCTAACAGAAAGCTAGAAGGACATAAATTTGACAAGAAGTTGAGCACACGTTTCTCTCAAAGGTTTAACACCTTTGATTTCTGCACCAAGACCTGTTGTTACTGATGGTTACCAGTAAACCTGCCCAGAAGGGAATCACCTCTGTTGGAGAAGGAAGGAAAACACCTCCTGGGCTCAGCTTGCCTGCCTGCAGGGGCTGGTCGTGGAGTGGAACAGGGTGTATGCCTGGTTTCTGAGCTGCAGATAAGGCTTTGACTGGCCACCTCAGGATGGGACACCAACATGAGGAGACCAGCTATGCTTGGTCTTTCACACAAAACACCTACACTCCATCCTGCTCACAGTCCTAACCACAGTGCAGACACACACCCCATGTTAGCTGTAATCCATCTCAACATTACCTATAGCTCCAATATCCGCCCTCAGTGCTTTTTACTTGTTTTTTACAAGTGTGAATCTACAGGCAACCCTTGCTGCTGCTGAGATGCTTCTCTAAAACAAAAGCTTAGGGAATTATAAAGTTTTTTTTTGCACATAATGTGATTTTTGGGAAATGCAATAGATGATAACCCAGTGCAATGAAAGAAAAACCAAAAAATTTACTTTTGGGCTTTTCTAACATTCACATTTCTAAAACATTGTCATATTAAATGAAGATCAAACTAAAACCTTTCAGTACGTGTTTTCATTCTCTCTTCTTAACTAACAAAAAATACCCTGTTTGTTTTGGTGTGGGTTTTTTTTTTTGTTTGTTTTTTTGTTGTTTTTTTGTCTTCCCCCCTCCAAAAGACTGCATTTTAACTCTTGGTACTATAAGGCTTCACAAACTATCATAGTTCTTATGTCTCTCTGAAAATCCTAAGTATTGGCTGTAGTCAGGTAGAATAGCAAGTTCTGCCTTGTACTGTTAAATTTATAATAATACATGAAGAAAACCCAAACCCCAGCATTTATTGCTTTAGAGCGGTTATAGTCAACAAGTGAGTTATGCATCATTTTAGTCAATGTAAAACTCCTGTTTGCCTGGCTTTGGGGGTTGCCATCAGAAGTGGGCACTTTGTGAGCACCTCAGTTCTGCATGACAGGCCTTTACAGCAAAGAGACTCCAGAGAAACACTTTTCTCTTAGGATTTATCAGTGTTGGTTGGTGTGTTCCCCCAGGAAATAGGAGTTTGAGCTGCTTTCAGATCTAAGAGCTGACATACTCCAGACTCTTCACTTCTGGAGAAATGACACTAATATTTAGGCTCCTTCTGCTTTGGGAGTTTTAGCTTTGTTTAATAAGAGGTCTTTTTTTCACTTGGTTTTGTAGTCCTGCTCAGCACTACACACGATCATCCCACACATAGGAGTAAGGACTTAAGTGGAGGAATATCTGCTTTATGGCTTCTGTCAGGACTCAGATCAGGTTGAAGCACCATCAGCACCAAAGGTGAGTAAGCGCTAAGGGGCAGAACAATTTTCATTAAAACAGCTGTTTCAGACATCATTCTTTGTTTCTGGACTATGCAACCCACTAGGTGTCATAGAAAATATTAATTTCTCTCATAAAATAAGGTAAGTCTTATTTTACCAGCCAAGCTACTATCAGATCATATATCATAGTGAGATAAATTGCTTTTGCAAAATTAATCAGCTGTTTGGTTTTTTTAAGTATGAAGGAAAGGAATCTGGAAGGTTTCTGCACTACAATTACATGGGTTAGAATGAAAGTGATTTAAGAACCCATTAATATTTGCTTGGTTTCTCAAAATCTATTCATAATTTAAGTACTTGAAAGCATTCAGCCCATTACACATTTATCATTGGTTTATATTGTAAAAGGCTGAGTGTCACATTGTCTCCAGGATAAAAAATTCTCTTTCTGGAATGCCTGCTTGCAGGATTTCCCTTCTACAATTTCCAAATAGTTTTTGCTCTATTCTTCACAATCATATTAAGTAATCACTAAAATAATACATGGCAATCACAGTGCTCAAAATAGAACTTGTCTGGCCTTAATAGAAGAGCGTAAGGGACGCGTGGCTGCTGTGGCCCACTTTGCGGTATGTGTCAGTCGTGTACACTCCCGAGAACCATATCTTTATAATCCATCCTCTTGCTTGTTATCAGAATTTCAAAATGAAACTGTCACCAAAGCAGATCAGTGCAATCCTTTTAAAAGTAATCCTGCTCAATTCTACCTGCTACACAGGGGAACATCAGCTTAACTTGTAATTAAAGAAGATTTCTCTAGGGAGACCTCAGATGTGGCCTGTCAGTTCCCAAGAAAATGGTAGCAGTTATTGACCTCATTTTTCCTTTGCTCTAACAATCAGATTTAAAATGACAGTATGACCTGAGATGGAGTATAATTCCCATCAGCAACAATGTGACAAGACTGTATGACTCCAAGGGAATAAACAAAAAGGAAATTAGTCAAAAATGAAAGGGTAGATAAAAATTCTGCCTCCTTCCAACAGCCTGAGTGAATAAATCACTTTCCCAGGCAAAGCAACAACCCTTGGGTCCTGGCTTGAATAAGAGAAAGTTTCCCTTGCAGCAGGAAGTTCCTTAAGTTTCAAGCAAAGAACCCCAGTGAGGTTTTTTTAGAGAGAGGTTAATTCTGTTACGGTTGCTTCCTTAATGGTCTGTTCAGCTCTCGTTGACTTTACAAGGCATTGGGAATAGAGATCAGTATCAGAATTAATTTTACATCAGCAATACAAAATCCTGCACAGCTTAACATACCTGCTTCTGAACAACTAGAGTTCGTAAAGGATGCCTAATGTAATGAAGAAGCAGTGTATCACTTCTCATCATTTAAGAGCAAGACAGCCAGCTGCTCTTTGAGAAACATGGGAAAATAATTCTACTAGAGCAAGGTAGGGTAATTACCCTTTAAAGGCTTTGGTTTTACCAGATGATTTGGTTTTGGAACAGAAAATTCATCAAAGATGTGCCTGGGTATACAGTGTCTGCCCAACACGTGTCATGTATGCAACTACACAGTTTTGCAGCAAAAAGCTTGCATCCTAGATTTAGACCCATACAATGAATAAACAAGATGGGGACAGGAAGCAAATGAAATGGTAGGGGAGAATTACAGCAACAAGTTTGCAAGACAGCTCAGTTTTCTCAGCATACCATATCCTGATAATTTTATTTTCCTTGCTATTTGCAGACAGATTTTGTTGCTTCTGAGAAGCTGATTTTGTAAGTTAGTATAATTCATGCAGGGCTTTATTTTGTACTTGGCATACATGCTTGGCTATTTTTCTGGACAAAGCAGTAGAAACAGACAACATATCCTTTCTAGTACTGTGAATATCTCTTAATTTTCTACTGTAACAGACTTCAAGGTCTAAGATGAATAGAAGATCCTAAGCCTCTGCACAGGATTTCATGACTTGTTGGACAATAAACCTTAAAAAAAAAAAAAAACACAAAAAACAAAAAACCCAAACAAAAAAAACACCCCAAAAGCAAGAGCTCTGGTTTTCCCACAATCCTGGCAGTTTAGGAAGACAAAGGGCACTCTATGCCGAAGAATTAGGTTTCTTGGTTGCTGTCCCAGATGTCTGCAATGTAACACCATGTCCCCATGGTGGGGATTAATGTGCAAGGGACTGCCTGCCCCTCCTGTTACAGGCAGGGAGGATCAAAAAGGATTTTCTAAAATGTGTTCCCTGACTGGAGCTCTGCCTGACCAAATGGTTTTTCCTGATTTTCTTGAACAACTCATACTAGAGCTGCAGAGTACTACTGTGGGGGCAGGAGGACAAGAGAGGAGTATTTGAAGACCCATGTGGGTAGTATTTCTAGTTCCTCTGGGCTGACATAAAAGTAGGGCTGTGGGGTTCTCTCTTTAAAATACAATAAATGAAAAGAAAATAGAATATTAAAATATAAACATACAAAAAATAAAATAAGGCCTTAGGGTTTTTTCGATTCACCTAGTCAGGATGTAAGGGGTAAAATAGGCTTCTACTATATTTAATGCTAAAGGTACTGTGCATAAGAAAATTAATGAAATACAGCATGGTTTTTTGCCTCACTTAACTGCGCACTGTATTTATACGCAATGTATTATAAACTTCTGAAGTTCACTACTATTAATTTTATGCTTCTGAAGTATTTTTAAATCTCCATAGCTACTTTATGTGTACAGAAGAATATTTTAAGTATAAAAACATACAGGAGCAAACACAATCATAGCATAGGATACCTTAGTTTTTCAGCAAAAAATAATGATCCTGAAAATACTTTCATCCTCACTAGCAAAACCATCTCCAGTCAATGCAGTTATTAAATGGCACTGAGCTCCTTATAAACATAAACAAAAAGCAAATCAGAGCTAGAGAGCTGTTGCATTTTGGGCACTGTGAGAGCTGCTGTGCTGACTGGAGAGTTGGGTTCCCATGCATGGACTTCTCAGCTGTCCCTCCTTTGGGCTGGGAACACCACTGCAGACCTCTGGGCAGTGCTGGTTGTACAGCTGTTACAGTTTTCTGTTAAAGGGACGCTGGTTAATCAAAACTACCCAAATTGGAGCTCTTTGGCAACTGGGCTCATCCTGAGTAAAAGAAGTTATGCAAAGCCCATGTGAGGAGCTGTGCAGGAGAGTGACCTGCAGCAAAGGCATGGTGCTGTGTGATGGGGATCTCATCTGCTGGCCCAGCTGGAACTCCAGGAGCAGACAGATGTTCACACCCTTGGTTGGCTTTTGTAGTAACTTTTTTAGTATGGGTTCCCCAAATCAAGCTCACTCCAACCTGCATTTTTACTGAGTTAAAACACTAAGTTCTTGTGTTTGTAAATTTACATGCTCTGGAGGTTACAGTCATACTTTCAAGGTTTTTACTGACCTCTGTAAAGTCAGAAGACTCAGAAAGGAACAAAGTGGGATTAAAACCTTCAAAAACAAATCTATAATAATGCCTATCTGTTTTCTTTGTTTCTCAAACCCTCTACTGAATGTCTCATTTAATCCTCATATAAAGCTACTGAGATAATTCTGCCCAGCTGTATTTCCTTTGTGAAAAATTGTACCGATAAACATTTAGTTGAACCAGGCTAACTACCTTCCCAAAGGCACAATGTGTCAAAATCTACCCTGATATATATGCCGTACAACCTGCTCAAGTTATTAAATTATATGAGGTATAATCAGGACATATTCCATTCCCTTGCCACATGGGAATGGACCTGGGAGAAGGAAGAGATTTATGAGGGGATGTGTTCATTGCATAATTATAACCCAACACATATGAGTAGATTCTGTGCTGGCTGCTAAAGAGACCAGCAGAGCTCTACATAGATGCAGTGGTCCACTTGGCCAGACTCACTGGACCCACTGCCAGGAGTGGAGCCCTTGTATTTTAATTTGTCGTCAAAACTTGGAACAAAGAAATCTGGCAAAGTATCTTAGTGCTGCAGCTTAACGTGTGTGTGTGTGCATGTTTTCTTTCCATTGCTCTCCATTCAGAGTCTGGTAAGATAGGTCATATTGTGGCTTGCTTTAGCTACATCCTTAAAAGTAACAGCACTCAGTTTACAGATTTGTTCTTGTTCTTATAGTTTGGATGAAGGAAATATGGTGCCCATTAGAGAAATGTTTTTTTTCTTGTTTTGCAGTCACTTTGCAAGTCATTTCTTGTAGTTGCTGCCCAAATGCATAGACTCTTTCCTGAACTATTTATGGGGATGTAAGTGGAAAAAGGGGAAGGACAAGAATGGAAGAGGAGGAGGAGTTTGTAGCGTGCTGCTGTGGATTAGAGTTCAGATCCAAGCCTCTAAGGTTTCAGCCTTAATCTTCCAATACATGCAAAGCCTTTCAATTTCACTTTGAGGTCATTACCCAGGTATAAAACAGTCTTAAGTGCTGTGTGAGGAATGCAGGTGCGAAACTCAGTACAGGAAGGTTTTCAATTAGGTAGTTATGAGTATAATTCACTTCCGGAAAGAAACGTGAGGTTTTAAGTCAAAATATCTGCTTCTAAAATCTGTACATTATACTTAAAATTAGATTTCAAATTTAGGAGTTTTAATAGGCATTTATCCTCTATAATTAGATGCCAGATATTTCCAAGTAACTGCTGATTTAAAGAAGAAAAGTAAAACCTGAAAAAATCCAAAGCATTAACATCTCACAACATCTAATATTATGGAAAGAAATCATGACCAGAAGACATTCAGCGTTTCAGTGGGTTTGGTGGTCTTGCAGTACATTTTTTTGTCTTCATGATTATGTCCAGTATTAGATTCTTGGTAAAAGCTTTTCATACAGCTTTCTTCATCATTCAGGAGATCATCTGACAGGATCAGCCTAAGCTGACCTGTAAAATCAAGTGTCATCAAAGTTGGGAATTTCCATTTGACACAACATCTACATGACAGTGCGACATTGCAGTGACTGCCACACCTGTCAGACTGATTTGATTATTAATTAATTATTAGACCAAACAGCCATTATAAATATAGATATGTGGAAAAATACTGGTTCCTTCGATGGTTAAGTGTTGAGGTTCAGCACTGCCTTGATAGATAGTTGACAGATAGTTGAAAAGAGGAAAACAGAGTTGCTGGGAAGGTCAGCTTGAACTGTCTGAGACCTGATATACATCACAGGCACCGATCAGGTACCTCTTTCCAGAAAATGAATATCCTCATGAGCTCAAGTTTCCAACAAGTGAAGCAGGTGCTCCACGTCTCTTCAGTTTTACTACTGTTTCAGAGAAGGAGAAGCATCACTTGTTACTTTGCATTAAATATGTGTTGTTGGGAATAACTATTTGAAGAGATGACAATTTCTTACGAGTAAATGTAATGAACACATTTGTTTTACAGGACAAGTTAGAAGTAGCACTGATGGCACCTGCAGCTGATTTAAGTATCACTACAGATACCCTTAAAGACAGATAAAATGGGAAGCTTGTCTCCTCAAAAAAAACCACAAACCCAAAACAAAAAACAAGGGAAGAAATACTAAATAGCAGACACTGAATAGTTATTTCCCAGCAAAATGTGTTGTCTGACAGAAGTGCCAGAGGTAATGGTGGTAAATCTAGTTATTAAATATCACAGAGAATTAAGGTGTTACAGAAATAAAAGCAGCAACAAGAGACTTCCCCATGGAAAACAGACTACAGCAAGAAATACACATCTCTGTTTAAGTCTGTGCGATCTGTAAACATGGTAGGGGGCAAATGTGTGATAGCCATGTGAGTTAAGTAAGCAAGTAAAATAAAAGAATTTTAAGTCTTACTGGTTTTAAAGAAAATCCTCCTATTTGATATTATTTCTTTGAGGAAGATGCTAAGAAAGAAACCAGGAGGTGATGTCTGAAGGTGTCCTTTGGTACTTTCTCCAGGTAGGTATAAGCACTGTTATTTGAGGGCTCTAACTGAATTGAACACTTCCTTCATTCTGACTATGCACATCTTTCCTTCATAATTTAGACTCAGTTACCTGCAGCATCAACCTGCAGTTGATAAACAACTGAATGTTTATCAAAATATCTCCCAAACTGGTTTACTGAATCAAGTGCAAGATCATTTCAGGTAATAAATTCTCAAACCTCTTCTAATTCTGGATTGATGAATGATGTGTCACAGGGGTTTAACGATCTCACTTTGCTTCCTGCAACACAGATGCCCATGTTGCAGTGAGTACTTCGTTATTTAGCTCAGTATTGTTAATTTAGATTACATCATTATTTCAACAGTATTGTATCCTCTTCACTTAAATAACCGCTTGCATCAATGTCTTATCAATGCTGTTCGTATTTGGAGGAGGAGCACTGAGGCATGAGGGGATGTCTTTGTAAAAGAAACAAGAGCACGTGAACCCCCAAATTCACTGAAGACTAGGGGACTGGTATGGGTTTCTTGTTTTCAGCTGATTAGGATGTCCCTTATCCTACTGAGTGCTCAGGAGTTTTTGACTGGTTTTGAGTATACCAAGCATGTATACCAAGTTTCAGCAAGACCTAAGGTTTAATGAGCCAGAATTTTGAAATGCTTACCCTCCTTTAAACTCATGAAAACACACCTGGAGGCAAAATAGGATGGGGCTATGTTGTTTCCCTTCTACACCCATCCTTGTGACAATTTTCTCTGGCTTAGCTTTCAACTTTGCACCTTTCCATCAAAGCACTTTCTGACCTGAATACTACCATCTCCCAAAGGTGTCTGGCAAACAGCAGGAAATGACTTCCTGCTTGATGAAAAATAAAAATTATTTTGTGCAAAAATTTGTATTAAATGTAGTCCTGAGGGGACATTTCAGTGATACTCAATTTGAAATAAAATTATGCTGGTAATTTAGTAGATGTAAAAGGGGAAAAAAAGTGGTGATTTTCCCTCCAGGGTAGGTTATAGGGGATATTTTTGAGATTCTCTTTTAGTTATTGTAAGCAAAATAACTCTCTTTGAGTCTTTTATCTTTCAAGGTTTTTTTTCAGATACTATTAAAATGCAGACTTACAAAGTCTCCAGCAGTAAGGAATAAATAACTGCATTAAAACCAAAAGGTTCTCAATATCGCTTTTCCCTGAAGTGGAGAGCTACTGGTATTTTGCAGAGGAATAAGGTAAAATGCTACCTTTTCTAT